AAGATACTTGATACATTACAATCTGTATGAACTTCTATGTCAATAAGAAAGCATATTCTGTTTTGTGGTCTTTGATCACAATGTCTGGGCGATTAACTTTGATTTTTCTGTCTCTGTGTATCGTAAAGTCCCATAAAATTGTTACAGGTCCTAAGTATTATTATTATTATTCCACAAAACATATGATGCTGATTGTTGGTAAGAGGTTTATTTTCGTGTCACTTCTTGTAACTTAAAAAAATAAGCCGATAATTTATCCTTTTCATCAACAGGCTGTTTCCAATACTATTCGAAATATCTTTGCTGTTACGGGCAATCATGTTTTGTGTAATGGTTTCATTTTGAAATTACAATCCAAAATCTGCAAGATTTTTCCAATTTTTTGTTCAAAATCCCAGTGCTCAAATGATCACTGGTACTGTAATTATAATTCTTTGATAATCTAGCCCACATTTTCACAATTTCATACTAAATCACTTTAGTTATCCATCTTCTCATTTTCTTTGCTTTCTGTTCTCACGTCAAATTAAAAGAAGATTTCTATCAGGTAGCAAATCTTTTTCCGTTTGTCCAACAGTATCTGGTTTATTGTGTTCTACTGTTGTCACTCTCTGTATTGGAATAACTCCCACGATTTTTACTTTATTATTTTCCAGCAATTTCTTCTTTGTGATAACATGCTTTCTATTATTATTAATTTATTTCTTTTGATTTCTGGTGTGTACACATTTCTTTCCTGTGTCCCACCTGGAGACCTAAGGTTAGAAATGGCATCATGACATTTTCCACTGACAAAAAAAAAAAAAAAATTTACATACATAAAAGCTCTTCGTAAAGTGTGGGCTGTATTCGTGAGAACAATTTTTTGTATTTCTTTGAGACATGGGCTTCCAGAAATCCCTTCAAAGAGTCTACTGGAATCTTTTCCAACCAATCCGAGGGATTTAACTACAACAGGGATTGTTGATGTTCCTATGTGCCACATTTTTGAGATTTCTATTTAAAGGTCCTTGTATTTTGAATATCTTCAAAGATACATTGTAGTTCGCAGAGACTGCCATATCAATAAGGAAACACTTTTTATTTGCGGTCTCTAATAATAATAATAATAATAATAATTATTATTATTATTATTATTATTATTGTTGTTGTTGTTGTTGTTGTTTTATTTCCTTTGGTTTTTGGTATATACTCATTTCTTCCCGGGTCCCGACCAGAGACCTGTCGCGGTCGCCGATTATCCGCTCCTTAGAAAACCGACCTTGACCTTCACAACTCCCGATCTCGCAGATCTAGGTCAAGCAACATGCGAGAAACCGGACGGCTAGTCCAATATCGTTGATGTCAAACCATACCTAGTACGCATCTGACTATGCTGAGCCATTCTAAACATCGGCAACCATAGACAGTAATTTATTATCTACGGTTTTCTACTCCCTCTAGCCAGGGAGCACTTGAACAACTCTTTCAAAATATTCTTAGCCACTTTTTCGCCCAAACCAAGCAGCTCGCCCCCGTATTCCGGGGTGAAACGGATGGTGTTTCTCATGCTGCTAGCCACGGCCCGAATGGTGATATGGACGACGCGAGAGGAGGAAGTCTTGCGAGGTATCCGTCTTTCTCATCAGGATCTGAATCGATTCTTTGAGCATCAGCTCAAGATGAAGATCAGAACTGATAGAAAACGCTTGCATTCGACAGTCTTCAGCGAAAGGTGGGTGACTGAGGCGAGCTTGGTTCGTGTGAACGGGGCTAGCCTTGATTTTCTGTTTTAGGTCAAGCCTACGTTACATCGGGGTGGCTTCCTGTGGTGCCCTCCCTTGGTTAGGTTAGACAAGCCTTGGTGTACCTAGTTAATGCGAGTAAGTGTTGTTCCCGGCCTGCCCCCGGCCACATCTTTAGTTATGATCCAGCCTGAGATTCCCAACCTCCCCAGTTTGTTTTTTGATCCCCACTTTCTATCTCGACTGGGTCAGCTTTATACTTCCCCCATGCCCGTATGATTTTTTATCACCTTTCCCACTCCCTTAGCGAGAGAGCTGCTTGATTTTGTTCCAGTGGGCAGAATACAGTGGTCTCCCTGCATTTTGAGGGTTGGAAGGGCCCTACTAACATCAGTTAACGTTTTATTTTCATTTATGTTAATATTTTAGTTTGTTATTGGGTTCACATCCCACCCCCATTTCATTTTTTTCATCTTAGAATTTTTGTACATATGTGTTAGGATCATTATGACATGGGGCGCGTTTTGTAAGTCTCCCTAGAGTGGATGTGGTATTATGGTGCAAGGAGGATTGACTGATGATGGACGAGTTCTTATGGTGAATGAGCAAATTGTAATGTCTGAATGGGTCGTGAATCAAATTAGCTAGGTATAAGATAGTTAGTGAAGACCAGCCTTACCCCCTCCCCCTTTTTTGGCCTTGTGCCACAATTTTGTAATTTTACAAAATAAATCTTAGCAGCTCGGCCCGCTTTGTGAACTTCCGGTGCTTTTGTCGAGAGTGTTACTCTTCGGCGCGATCCCGTCTCCACGGTCGATCCGCCCTGGAAGGTGTAACACCTCTCTGACCTGCCTCGCCTGGTGATACACTCTGACGCGATCCCGTTTCCGCGGTTGATCCGCCCTGTGGAGTTGTATTACTGTGCTGCCTTGGCTCTGTTTAGGGACACCGTCTTCGCTATTCGGCCGAACCAACTACGTTCGCCGACCAATCCTAAACTACCAGGCCAGACCAACTATATTCGACCGAACCAACTACGTTCGCCGACCAATCCTAAACTACCGGACCGGATCAACTACATTCGACCGAGCCAGCTACGTTCGTCGATCAACCAGTCTTCGGACCACACCGATGTAAACGTGTGAATAAAAACGACACTTTTGTTCATAACAAAAACCTTTGCCTTTGTCCCGTCATTGTCTTGGCTGTTCACATTTATCGTACATAAAAAAACCTTGCGGGGGCGACATCCTACTCGGCCCCGCAACAGACCTAAGGTCAGAAATGGCATTTTGTTATTTTCCACTGAGCAATTTTGAAAAAAAAAAACAGCACATATTTTACATAAATAAAGCCCTTCGTAAGGTGTGGGCTGTAATTGTGAGTACAGTTTCTGTTGTTTCTTTTAGGCATGGGCTACCAGTGATTCCCTCAATGAGTCTATGTGAATCTTTTCCAATTCTGAGGCTTACAACTACAACTGGAATTGTTAATGTCCTCATGCGCCACATTTTTTAAATTTCGACTTCAAAGTCCTTGTATTTTTAAGTTTTTTGAAGATCTTCGAAGATACACTACAGTCTGCAGGGAATGCCGTGTCAATAAGGAGGCATATTTTATCTTTGCGGTCTCTAATCACATTGTCAAGGTGATTAGCTTTGATTATTCTGTCTGTGTGTATTGTAAAGTCCCATAAATTTGTTACAGGTCCTATCTCCGTAACCCGAACCGGGTCTGGACGGTGTTTTTGTCCATCTTGAAATTTTCCGTTGTTGATTAGTTACTCAGAGAAATTGATCAAACAGCTTAGTATAAATCTTATGGAACTCTCCTGTCATTCTTTTCATTCCCTCGGGGTGTAATTTACATACGTAACTATCTTCATGCATTTTAAGAGTCGAAAGTTCGGTAAATTCTGAATATTTTTTTCCAAAATGTGCACCTTGAGATGCTTGTCAAAAGCTCCGTTGATATCACATTGTTGTGTTTGACATTATACCAGTGACCATTGAATCTTTTATTTAATTTTTCCGTTGTGCAAAAATAAATAAATAAATCTAACTTGAAGAAGACATATGTCGAAATATTGTTTAACATTGTCAAACACTGTTTTTTTTTCTTTCCTTAAAATTTAAAATTTTTCCAATATTTTTCCAATATTTTTCAACACTTAAGAGCACGATTTAAGGCTTAAATCGTGCTCTTAAGTGTTGAAAAATATTGGAAAAATTATATCAATCATTTTGTTTATTATTATTATTATTTATAAGGAACAATAATCACTGACAAACGAGCAGTAGACAAACAAAAATTAATTTCAATTTTGCAATAAGAAATGTTAAATAGCTGTTCAAAAAGTTTATTTATTCGAATGCCACGTCATGTCTTAGTGTTTTTATTACTTCATTTTCAAAAAATCTTTTCAAAATCGAGAAAACATTATAATGAAGCGTTGAAAACACTCAAACAAAACTAAAAGATATTAATAAATACTGCGAGAGAAATTAAAGGCGGTCAAAAAAAATAATAATGATGTTTAGAAATGATTAATAAATACAAAGAAATTATTAATAAACGAAAAGAAATTATGAATAAAGACTGTCAGAGAAATTAATGATAAAGACAGTCATAGGAATTAATAAAAATGACGTTTAGAGAAATTATTAATAAAACAATCAGTTATTAATAAATATCACAAAATTGAAAAACAAGACAAAACACACGATTAGAAAATCTTTAGAGAAGAGAAAAACACAGAAAAAAAATATAAGAAATGATAAATAATAAAATTAGAATTTCATTTTACGAATTTCATGGGAAAGATTATAATCAAAATTATGTTTCGAGTTTTTCAAAAGGTTTTTGCGATTCAGTAGTTGCCAAAATGTAGAATTTCATTTATTTAGTGAGCATTATTTCATTAAAAAAATTTATTCAAAGCAATTAACTTAAATATCTTCCACTCAATAAAATATCAATGTTTTTTAAACGTTTCCTTTATTAAACACTTGTGTTTTGTGACTTTGTCTACGGAATAAGGAGATAAATTGAGTACGCCAAAAATACTGGTTATTTTTTTTCTGTGTTTTTACGTTTATTATTTATATAATGCAGACAATGGTGTGAGATGAAGCAAATGAATGGTATATAGTCACACAAGCAGAAGCTAAAATGCATTTCTTCAATCTAACATTTATTCTGGGCAAGAAAATTTGTTCATTTTTGTGCATGATGATGACAAAAGAATATGTGTAGATAAAATTAGCATTCGCTTACGATAATAATATTCCGCCTTCGGATTTACTATTTAGAGTAAGATTATCTTCATAGCGGCCACCGTTCCGAGCATCTTTTAGGATTACTTCTAGATCTTTAGAGAGAGAAAAATGGAAAAAAATAAATAAATAAATAAAAAGCATATCAAGGAGGATCAAGAGTTATCACCCTTTTTTATAAGGCTCAAACATTGTTCAACCAATCAATAAAAAGATGAGCTTCTTAATTAAGATTGTTCTTGTTCTAAAAAAAAATATTCAAATAAAAAGCAGCTTCAATTATTTGTTACTTTATATAAGTGAATGTCAAAAGGTTTTTTTTTGCACAATATTAGCAAACAAAAAATTAAAACAAAAAAATTATACACGCACACAGCAAAAAAAAAAACACACAAAAAAACAACAAAATACAAAAACAAAAATACACTACACTAAAAAACGATGCGACAGAAATTAGTTTTTGATCTTTTTAATTAGTATATATACACTACAGGTTATTTTTTGGTTATTACTAACAAATAAGTAAATAGTCGCTAAGCATTCTTGTTAGTATTTTTAATTTTACAAATAATGCGTTCATGCATTATGACACGAGAATGCATTAATCCAGTAAACTTCTTGATGTTTTTATCTTTTGATTTTTTTTTTTTATAGATCCTATCAAACTTTTTAAAGCATATAAAATAAAAAAAATTTAGCAACATTGACACTTTTTAATCGTGAATAAGTACCAATGGTAAAATCATCATTTGAAAAACAGTGGTCTCCAACCACAGGGCCCGGTCCGCACAGAAAGAACAAAAACATTTTTTCTCCATTTTGTTTATTGTGTTTTAGTTTTATTATGCGCGTGGCCAAAACCGGCCTCCATCCCAGCCCGTGGAAAAAAAAAGTCTTGCATGATATACTTGTACATAGAACAACATGACTCTCAAAAATAAAGAGAAAATTATATTTTTACGTGTATATAGATAGTTAAAAAAAAGAAAATATATTTATGTATTTAGCCGTACTGTGTGTGTGTGTGTGTGTGTGTGTGTGTGTGTGTGTGTGTGTGCACGCGCCTCGTACTTGGATTGAAATTTAGTAGTCAGCTGTCCGTGGAATGTCTTTCCGGAAGTAGACTAGATAACGTTTTGTACCTACTGTATCTTATGGTTTAGAAAGTGAAAAAAGAAGGTTTATGTCCCTCTCTTATGTAGTCCTGAATACAAGGCTAACTAGCAGCGTTAAGCGAAGTCCTTTAGCAGACAATAATGAAAGATTTTATAGAATTTCAAAGGGTAAAATATCCGTTTTGAGAGCCGTTCAGAAAGAAAATAAGAATTTGCAATATATTATATACCTCGATTTTTCAAAACATAGGAGGTCGGTGTGAATTTGATTATTGTGTGTGTGTGCGCATGCGCGTGCATGTTTGTCATATAAGCTAGAAGCATTGCGTACATACAGCGACATTTCGATTTACTGTTTTATGCCCGAATGAATGGCCGAGAGACATTTTTGCAAACGAGACTCAGTGATTTTGAACATCACAAAGAATTCGAAAGACAAGTCTCAAGACTTATATTAAATTCAAACTTGAGTACTAGTGCTACCTACACAAATGGGGGGGGGGGAGAATCCGAAAGAAGAAAATAAAAAATGATGAGTGTAGGTCAGGTGACTATTACGAAGAAATGTCCCTCTCCAAATTTGATGATTTGTAAGGTGCGTGTGTCCTCAAGGTATGAAAAATAAAATTAATAGAACTATAAAAAAAAATGGGGAATATACGAGAAATTCTTGTTTAAAACAAAAGACTTGATTTTCAGGCTTACTTTGTTGACCACAACTTGGAATGGTCTTTATTCATTGGACAGCAACAGTGAAAATCTGCTGTACTTTTGTTAACAAGATTCACTTTAGACACTCCTGTTAAATTTCTCTCACCTTATATGGAAACACCAATGATATTAATGGGTGTTAGCTTGTGTTAAGAGTTGCGTAATAAATAATAATCTTTAAAAGATTCTGTCACGATTCTATACCAATATCATTTTCTACTATTATTATTATTATGTCTGATACTAGTTATATTTATATGAAAGTTAGTATCAGACTTATATATCAGTGATTTATATGATAACTGATATTAGAATAATATATCAGCGATTTATAATTTATATGAAAAAATTCATTTTATTTTTAACAAAAGTAAAAATTACCAAAGAAACTGAATGTGAAAATTCTTTTCAATTATTACTGACATATTTGGATAATTTTTTTTATTTGTTCTGGTAACCTAGTGCGGGAAAAAATCTGCCTCGTCAGTCATGTATCAAATGATACATGAGCGCCTAAGAGTGTATCACGTATGGCACATAACTGACTGAATATTTATTTTTGGACCTTCTAAAACGGTAATTTTTTTAGCGCTTTCTAAAAAGATTACCGTTTTATTTCACCGACATCAAAAGATATTTAATAAAAAACAAATCTTCAAAATTGCTTTTTGTGCATGTTTTTTTTTTCAAACGATTTAGACTCAAGTCCAGTGGCTTTCAGTGTTATTCTGACTTGGTTCCTGTATCTTTGAATAAGGCAACCCCGTGGTCTTTTCCATGAAGTGAATTCACTGAATAAGACCTGACGTGGAAAAAAATACCTCTTCCATTCTTGCTATATGTCATGACCATCGAAGACGGTGTTTCAGGATCAGCGATTCGATGCTTTCTTTTCGTGACTTTGGTGTTGGTCATATAGCAACTCCATTTGATGTTCAGGACTGAACGAAGCTTTTGCTGGTGGAAGTGTTAAAACTTTTGGATATCGCGACGATATAGAGTTCAGGTTTCGCGACGATATAGTGTTCAGGTTTCGCGACGATATAAGAAAGTTGAAATGACAACAGCATCATCTTTCAATGCCCAAAATTTATTTATTGCATTTCTGTTCAAACTGTTTACAGACGCTGATAATATTAGTTAAAATAATAATTTCCTTTAGTATTTTTAATCATATGGTATTATTTTTTTTTTAGTATATTATTATAGTACATTAAATAATTTAAATGTAATGTTAGTCGCTATCTACTATCTTCCTGATTATTTTTTTCTCTTTCCGCTTATTATTAATGTTTCTGTTCCTAATTCTTCCACACCTTGTAACCTCTCGTGATTTAGTGGCTTTACTGCCTTGAATGGGGTCAAACCGATTTAAAAAAATAAATAAAGACTACTTTTTTTCTTGTCTTATTCCGTATATATCTATTTTTAATGTAGAGAATTTTCGCTACTCGTAGATCACATACTTTAGTGATGTATTGTTCTTGTAGATCAGACTCGGAAGGTAGATAACATATTTAAGTAGCACATAGTATAGACAATACTATCGTGCATTTAATAGGTCCGTGTTACAAAGGGTGGGCCGAGTGCCATCGGATCAAAAAACAACGATTCTTTAAATATAATTCATTTCAATTACTAATAGCAAATGTTTATTAGCACACGCGGCAAAATTGTCCAAGACGTAAATAACGGCAAAAGGCAGGTAATATTGAACACTAATAACGGCAAGAAGTATGGGTGTCCGCTGCCCCTTTTCCAAGTTGTGGGTGCAGCTACCACTTTGCCAGGTTGAGGAGAGAGTTTAGGTAAAAAAAAAAAAGGATATTTTCTAAATACAGGCACTACTGAAATTAACTGGTCCGGTCATAAAAAAGAATAGGGAAAATTTTTTTTTTTTTTTTGCGGGGGGGGGGATAATTTTGCAGATTAGCATTCATTAGACCATACACTACCTACGACATTTGTTCAGTATATAAATACATTGTCTAAACGACCTTTGACTAATTAAAGCGTTATCTGTACTTTCGGACTGGACCTGGAAAATGTTGAACAATTTCCATACTTTGGTAGTGTCAGTCAGTTATGTGCCATGCATAATACACGTTTAGGCGATCATGTCTTTCGATACATGACTGACGAGGCAGATTTTTTCCCGCAGTAGGTTGCCATTTCTGCGGTAGACCTGTTGCCACTCAAAGTCGACTTGATATTGTACTTATACCGTGAACAGGACCCCCATTTCTAAAATGAAAATAAAAATCTATATTTTAAATTCTGACAAATGTCGTGAGTAGAAGAAAATCCATTGAATGCTAATATACAAAAATTATTTATAAAATATTCTTCCACATTTTATTTTTACATTTTTTTTTTCAATTTAAGTATTGCCTAAATATATCTCAGTGGAAAGCCAATTATATGAACAATAGCAAAAATATTATCGTCTTTCTTATATGGCGACATAAAATTGGGATTACATGAAACAATTACTCTGCTCAATTATCTTTTATTGAGTACAAGTACAAACGATTTTTTTCTGGACATAAGACGCCGTGGCTCTCCACAGTTTCCTTTTCTTTAACATATATGAATTACTGGAACTACTAGGGAAGGATAATGGAATAGTTTCCTGTTGTCTTCTCCAGTTTTGAATCCGGATTTGTTCTTAGACTGGCTGTTACCCAAGGTTATTTAACCCATAACTGGGACTGAAAAAGAAATGGATTCATGCCATTTCCAAAAATGGATTTTTTTATTAATCCGACAGATTTGTATCACTTCAAAGGTTATTTCTAGTGGATACTTGTATTTGAGTAGACGCTCCGTTTATTTATTAAATATTCTTCTTGGGCGCTCCTCAGCTCCGTCGTTACGGCCCTCTTGATGGCCTCCACGCCTTCAAAACGGGTTCCCTTGATGATCTACTTCAGCTTAGGGAAAAGAAAAGTCACACGGATCAATAATGAATAGGGGGGGTGTTTCTGTACGGCGATGTTCTTCTCGGCCAGGAACTGCCGGATGCTCAGGGCGTTGTGAACAGGTGCATTGTCGTGATGAAGCAGCCACGATTTGTCCTGCCACAACTCTCGAAGCAAACGCCGCAGGATCTCTTTGTTGACTTGTTGATTGATCGTCTCGACCTGTGGCAAGAACTAATTGTGGACGATGCATTTCACATCGAAGAAGTCCCGTTACTTTGCAGCCAGACCTTATTTAAATATATATATATATATATATATATATATATATATATATATATATATATATATATATTATGCCTTTGAATTCCTTGAGGAACATATGGCTGCAAGATATAGTTGCGGTTTATAACAAACCAGTTTTTAAGTGAGTAGGTTGTTAGCCTACTGCACAACCCCCAACCTGGTTTTGAATTCAGGGTTGTCCTTCTCTTAGACCAGTTGCCACCCAAGTCCTGCTATTTACCCATAGCTGGGGAGAGAAGAAGAGGATTGATACATTTCACAAGGGTATTAACACGTAAGTAAATGTAATGGATTCGACTGGAATTGGAACTCGGCTCTGCGATTCATCAATTCGAGCCGCTATCCATTACACCAACGTGCCTCCAGACCTTATATAACCTACACCAAAATATGCCTTATATTATTTAACGGCTGTATTAACAATTAAGGATCTTTTTTATTATCATCTAAAGGGAAAAAAGTTTAAAGAAAGTCTGAAAGATACTTTGCCTAAAAATATTCTTTTGCAATTGTTAACGCCCCAAAATTTTGCGTTTCATTTTAACCTATTTCTATCAATATATTTACTTTGAATGTACGTGTGAGTTTTCAGTGATATATACCATTTGAACAGGATTTCTTTTCGCTTACGGTAAATTTATCCTATTTTACTTTTGAGGCAAATATATGTGATTATATATGATTTTATTCTTCACTAGCAGCATGGCCCGGCGTCGCCCGTGCTTGATTCAAAAATCGTACGACTCATACAGCAATCGCTATCACTTGACTTAAAATATTTTTGCCCTTCTTTGCCTTTAAAGGAGTGCCTTTTGACGTGCTGATGTTGCTATATGCCTTACTTCTTGCCTATCTCACACTGCGAATTTTTTCTAAGCTTTATACTAAACATTAAATGTTACGAAAAAAGAACTAAACAAAATGAATACAAAACGATCAGCTTTAAAAAAGGACTCATAACTGGAAAAACTGAATGAAAAAAGAATGTTAACAACAAATACTTTTTCATACCCAACCCAGTTCTGCGGAATCAGAATCAACGTTGAGTTTAAGCAAGCGAATGAGCCAATTGGAGTAAAGTGCCATGCAGATTTAAATTTTTCCCACTTGTGACGAATGCAGCTATCGATTTTTTTTTGCATGCTAGCATGCTAGTTAACATTCGTGTCAGTCAGCTGTTGGCTCTCACGCTGGCCAATAGAATCTTCGTGGCAGCCAGCTATTGGCTCTCACTCTGGCCAGTAGAAAATGGCCGAAAACTACATGAAAACTGCCGTAGAAGCATGAAAAAATCGATTATTTCCACTATCGATGGGAGTTGTGAAATGCAACGTCGGTCCTGGTCTTTCCGCTAACTTGGAGCATGTGCATGTAAATTTTGGTGCAAATCCGTCGAGAATTGTGGCCGTGCATTTTTTACACACACACACACACACACACACACACACATCCTGCCTTTTATAGATAGAGATTCACGAACAAAGTTATTTTATTCTACCAAAATCTATTTAAAATCATTTTCAATAAACCTATAACGAAGCATATTAGAATTGTTTACCTACAAAATATCCTTGTAAAATTGGTGAGTTGTGCGTCTTATAGGAAAACAAATGTGGTTATTTCCATTCATAAAGCATCAATTTCGTATTACTAAAACAGAAAGTAATGTCAGAGTTCTTACCTTCAAATGGATTCTGTGTCGTAGATTTCCACGGGATGTGCTTCAACTGAGCTCCAAAATCGTTATTATTGTGGTGCCTTGGTGTCTTTCTCTCTTCGTCGATTGATATTTTTTTCGGCTTAATGGCAGTGTCCGGAGAAGAATTGTTCGCCGCAGACAAAATGGGCGTATTCGAAGGTGATGCAGATTTCGCAGACGTCGATGGTGAAGTCAGCATTGCATTTGTTGTTAACGTTGTAGAAATCGTTGCAGTCGAAGAACTGAATGTGGAGTTTTGCATTTTATATTTAAGAGTGCACTCAGCACCTTTGGGTCTTAAACTGCACACCTTGAGCTTCGAATCAAACCATGTACCTTTCTGGCAGGACTGGATTATCCCAGTTCCATGAACACACTGATAAAATTTATCGCAGAAAAAAGGATGAGAAATCAGTTCCCCAGTGTTTCTAGTTATGCATGGGTCAGGCAGCGCTGTTGAGAAGAGGAGATATAGCAACATAAGTAGAATATATATTCACATCTGTTTCAGAAAAAAGTTTTTTTTTAACACATTAACTGCCAAATTTTTTTAATGTGCATTTTTGGCCCAGACGGGTGTCTTAGGAGTTTATTTATTCTTTATGTTTAATTTCAGTATTTACCATTGTCGTTTTTATAGAAACTAGAACATCAAATATATATGTGTATATAACATCAAAAAATAATATTGATTAGAAATAATAAAAAAAATACTTTTAAAAATAGTCATTATCTTTCTATTCGTGAAATGTAAAATTACGACAGAAAGTGTTTTCTTACGGCTAATAATAAAAAAAAACTTTAAAGGCTAAGTTTTGTAAAATATACCTCTGCAAATGCAATGTATGTAAGAAATTCAATGTAAATACAAGAAATAGCATGCAGTGAGTTTAATTTTAACAGATAAAAAAAATGAGGCTCATGGCAGGTAATGGGTTAATAAAAATCATTGCTACTTTTTTCTTTAAATTCAGTAAAGGAAAATATCACATTTTTTCTTATTTATTGGCGCATGGTTCTTAGCAAAAAGGACAGGTTACAAATTGGAGATAACAAAATAAAATAAGAACAACAATTTAAATATCTGGAAACTGTTTTAACAGAGGACGGAACGTACGACACTGAAATCCGATGACGCATTGATATATCGAAAGATGCCTTCCACAAACTAATCAAAAAATTAAGAAACAGGAGAATGTCGTTCGAAACAAAGGAAAGACTGCAAAATTGTTATGTAATATCAGTCCTCTTATATGGCTGTGAATGCTGGACCATCTCCGAACAGATGAAGAAGAGACTTGAAACAACAGAAATGTGGTTCTACAGAAGGATGCTGAGAATACCATAGACCGAACATGTAAGCAACGACAAAGCTTTAGAGAAAATGTAAAAAAAAAAAGAACACTTACACTTAGCATCAGAAAGGGAAAGTTCAAATTTCTAGGATGTATAATGGGGAAAGAAGGCTTGGAAAATTTGATACTCACAAGTCAGATTGAAGGCAAGAGACACAGGAAAACAATGTATAACCTATCTAGCGGGCTTGAGTAAATGGTTGGTAGAACAAGGTTTAGGAGAGATAACAAAAAGAGAAAAATTGCATGGTTCTCTAAAGGACAAGAAATTGTGGATATCTATGATCGCCAACGCCCTGAAGAGACATGTCACAAAGAAGTAGTAGTTCAACCAATACAAGGCACAAGAGCCTCTTAAGGTGGAGGGTTACTAAGGGAGATTGTAAGCGAGACGGAGGGAAAAAGTGAGAATATTATAAGAACGAATAGGATAGATATCGGTTGATATTGACTTAAAGATATCAAGATTGAAGTTGTCAGGGAAGTATTATCTTGGGAGTTATTTCCACAAAGTAACAGTCCTGGGAAATAAGTTGTCTGAGTAGAACTTGCTTTTTATCAAATGAACACGAAGAGAATGGGGTTGGTTTCCCATCGTGAATGCAGCATGGAGAGTCCTAGTTGTGAAGATCCGAATTGGTGACACTAATATAGCTCGTCCGAACATCTGTCATAGTAATAGCGATATAGTTGTCTGTGGGATAAGGGTTGCGGGGTGGAAAATAGTTCATTATCCACGAAGAATAGTTCATCACCCACAGGGCCGCGTAAACATTTTTGAACTCCCTCGAGGCTGGGCAGCGAGCATTGGGCAGTATCAGGCCATCTATGGTAATATTACTACATTCTTGGTTTGATCTGACTCTTAGAAAGATAAAGCATAACCACGGGAGTTAGGTCTGGATCAATACAATGAACCAAAAGTTCTTCCAGCATCTTTTGCGATGGCACGAATATATGCACGAAGGTTGGTAATGAACGATAATACTTAGGACAAGAACAACACATATAAGGTTCGCTAGCGGCGAAGAAGTTGTCAACTGCTAGAAGTGAGTCAAGTGAATTCCACAATGAATCTCCAACCTCACGCGGTCAGATGTGACACAAGACCGAATTTAATGTGGGGTATCCGAGCCCGTAGTCACGGCCAAAAATTCCCCGTAGATCCCGTATAAAACGGGGTTGGGTAGCTGTTTCCCCAGACGAGACTTTCCTTCGACATAGCCTCGTCTGGGGATCCTCTCTGCCCGGAGGCAGAGAGTTTGACCAGCACAGCTGGAGACGAATTTCTAACTGCAGACCAACATACAGTATTTACTACCGTATTTATGTGAATGGGGACATAACCATTATCGTCCGTAAGTATGCTACAACAAAAAGAAAATAACGCTGTAGAAGAAAGGCATAGTTTTTGACAAACACATCTGAAGTTGGGTCTATTAAATAGAATTTACTATCTGAATTTACGATTTCAAACCAACCAAGATCACAATACATTTATGCAGGTCCTTTAGACTCCTGTGTGGAGCATAGGGCAGCAGACTTACCACGCTATGCGCTACTACAGCGAGTTCTGGATTAAGTAGAGTTGCTATTTCCACGCCCAACCAGTTTTGAATTCAGAGTTGTTCGTCTTCTAAACTAGTTGCCAACCAAGGCTTTGGTCAACTCTGCCCTGATATTGACTTCTAGTTTAGGGTAGAGATGGATTTATATCTTCCCAAATGGATCTGTGCGAAAATGAAAGCAACCGCTTCGGTTGGAACTTGAAAACAGCATTACCAGTCCTATTTTCCATACTGATAATCGCTAGACTACCTCCACATACTCATCTCAGAATACTTACAGATTATAAATATCGCCATATATATGAGGAAAAACAAATTTATCCTTTAAACTTCTCTTCAATATAATTTCATTATATTTACATGATTTCATGTCGGTTCGTTCCACAGTGCTTCGTGTTTCAGAACTGTCTGTTGATTTATAATATAACGATGCATAATCTACTATTGATTTATTATTATAATATAACGATGCCTAATTCTATATTTTAAAAAAAGAGTATTAAATTAATAGTAATAAAACTTGGAAGTCAGTGAGATGTTTTGTATAAAATATTCATTGTATAGAGAGAAATATCTGACGTTAACAACAAAAAAAAGACAACTGAAATTTTGGGACATAAAAAAAGCTTGGAGAATTTGAAATTCTAGGATTGGTTGAAAGAAAGATAAAAAGAGGAAAACAGCAAGTAACCTACTTGACAACTTTGAAGAAATGGCTGGAGGAACAAGTAGCACAAAAGACAAAAAAGACGGTTAAAGGAGTAAGATATTGTAGAGGAGATATTGCACACACACACACACATATATATATATATATCAAACGTTTTAGTACTGACAAACTCCAGGGAATGTCGCTAAGAGAGAAATTTCTCGAGGAGCGAAATGGCCACATAAATGGGATACAATTGAATTTCATTTTTATGTCATTCATATTTTCAGTGGATGCCCATATTTGAGTAGATTCTCCGTTCATTTATTAAAAAAATATATTTACTTATTTTCGTCTATCGGCGTGATTATTACAGGAATGTTATTAAAGAAAAGATGCGCCTTCCTGCAAGATTCGAACCTGCATCCACCTCAGCAGGAGAAACCTTCGTTAGATCAAACGCGCTTTCGACCATGTTGGCCACGAAGAGTCTTGCCGATTGAGCAAAGCCGAATAGGGCCTTTAATCACAAATTCCCTCATAGTCATTCGAAACTCAGTTTCGTATTCTAACGTAAATAAAGTAATTTCTAAATAGGTAATGGGGTTTCTATTTCTTAATCCAACATATTTTATCACTTTAATGCTATTTTAAGTGATTACCAATATTTTACGAGACGCTCTGTCCATTTATTAAACAATATATTTATTTTCGCCTACTGGCCTTAGTTTTCGAGAAATCTTATTAAAGAAAAGTTGCACCCTCCGGTACGAGGATCTAACAACGGTTTCTCCTGCTAGTAGGTAGGAGGCACAAGTTCGTATCCTACCGGAAGGCGTATCTTTTTTTTAATAAAATTTCTCGAATATTCAGGCCGGTTTAATAAATGAACGAAGTGTCTCCTGAAATATCCACTGAAAATAACGTTTATATGATAAAATATGTCGGATTATCTCGAAGGTTTCGACAGGGTTTGGCATGCAGACCTTCTACGCAAACTCCAGGGCTACTGTGTTACGGGCCGTATATTTGGCTTAATCCAATCGTTCGTAACCAATCGAGTAATGAGGGTCATGTTGAATGCGCATGCTTCCAGATCAGCCCATACTAACGCGGGGTTTACTCGGCTCTCTATCCTTGGGCCTACACTGTTTCTGGTCTTCATCAATGATCTCATCAGTTCCCATATAGGTATTTATGTAGATGACACTACCATTTACACCTACCTTAGCAGATCCAGAAAATGAACCTGGCAACTACTCTTGAAAAGGATCCTCAATCAGTGATTATCTGGGGCAAGAAATGGCTTATAAATTTCTCCAAAATATAACTTCTCTGATTTAATAACCACAGAGAAATTTGTCTGCTTATCATCAGGATGACTGTTGCTGAACTCCAGAAGAGAGACACTCTATGCCTTCTAGGCCTCACGTCATGAGGTGGAGGGAATATATCAAGTCAATTGCTATGTCTGCTACAAGGTAGCTACATGGCTATGTTATGGCTACAAGGTAGGTTGATTCACTGTGTTGTACGCCCAAATTTTTCTCGTCGGAATCCATCTTTCACGTTTATAAATCTACTATTCGTCCGTGTATTGAATACTGTTGCCATATATGGTTTGTTG